GTGTTAAACCTGACAATGTGGTAAAAACCAATGGAAACCATAAAGCCAGGCTTCACCAGAACTGCAGTGCTAGCAGCTCCTGGACAACTTGGGGAAGACCAATGTCCAAATCCTCTGGGTGACCCTCACAGCACTTTATGACAAGGCATTTTGTCAAGAATAAATATTCAATTCCAGTCAGCTCAACTAGTTCAGTTTAGACAAAAATATCCAAAACTTTGCAATTTTGTCATTTCATAGATACTCTCTTTATTTTTCTCTTAGCTTCCTCTCTTGCTGATTATTTAATTAAATTAGCTCATAAGCTGTGACAGTTTGATTCCTATTAGAGGCTGTAGTGAATTTGTTCAGACACTGACAGCAACACCCAGGATCCCTGTGCTTGCTGAATTCCTACAAACACACCTGCATTTGTGCCTTTTCTGCAGAGATGTCACATGTCAAATACAAATTTCGGGATAGTTTACACCAAAATGGTTCATCCAGCAGCCAGGCTTTCTCACCTTGGAGTTCCCAATTCTCACTCTAAAGGAATTTTTAAAAACAGCCTCACATTTACCTCTTTCTGTCCTCTGATAGGCCAGGTTGGATGGGGCTTGGAGCAACCTGGTCTAGTGGAAGGTCTCCCTGCCCATAGCAGAGGAGTGGAATTGGATGGGCTTTAATGTTCATCCATCCCAAACCATTCCATGATTCTACGATGGGAACTAACTCAAGATGGGCAACTTACAGTCATCATTCTGCAAGTTCACATTAAATCATTAAAAATCACTAAATAAATACAACTTGGCCCCGAAGATCTAGTAAGAGTTAACATTTAGGACTGATTATTTCCTGCTCAGAAAGAGCAGAAAGTAAGTATTTTTATTTCAATTAGTATTTTTACCATATATTAACAGAGAATGACCGACATGTGAGAATTCCCTTGTTTATATTTTGCTTTTGGATAGGGAAATTATGATTGTCTAGTCTTAGCACATCAACAAGACACCAAGCTAGGAAGAACAGTTGCTTGACAGGAGTTGTTCCTGGATGTTTAACAGAAAGTTCCATGTTGCAAGACATTTGGAACAGACTGACGCTTTGCAAACAAAAATATCTTTTATCTCTCAAACTACCTCACATTTACAGCAAAGCCATGCCTAAATCATCAGGACAGGGAACTGTCAGCCTGTTAGAACTTGGCTGTGCATGAAACCCAATGTTTGCCTTGTTCTGTCTTTCTAGAAACTGCAACTCCGAGAACCAAAGCTCCCTAAAACTGCATCCTGTAGAAAGAGAGGCCAAAAAATCAAAAGGCCCTGTCGTAGAGTTTACTCTACCACTACCCTGCAGTGCATCAGGCAGAGCAGGCTGCACTGAAGAAGTCTCTAATGACTCATCTTGACCTTAACAATGTTAATATCAAATCTTAACTTAAATTCTTCCTAACTTGGCGTTAAGGTGAGTTTTTTTGCTTTCTCAAATGCTTAGTTCTATTTTCTTGGTATTACAGGTGAAGTCCTACATATACCACAGAAAACACCTCAGGAATCAGATGGCAATTCCTGCTCCTAAACAGTAACCAAAAATAAGGATTGGGATATTCTGACCTGTCCTAAAGGTGGATGGTGCTGCAGGAAGCAGGGTGAGGGTGTCAGAGCAGCACACGGACCTGTAGGGTACGGACAGACTGACCCGGGAACCTGCACATCCACCTTCACAGAGAACAACCCTTTCCCTACCCCGGGTGACCGAGCAGCCACCAGGGCAGGTCCTCCCTCTCCCTCTGCTCCCCCAGCCCTCACAGCCCGGCCGCCCCTCACCCCCCGCCGCCCCTCACAGCCCCGACCGCTCCTCACAGCCCCGCTGCCCCTCACAGCCCCGCCGCCCCTCACAGCCCCGACCGTTCCTCACAGCCCCGCCGCCCCTCAGGCCACATCGCCCCCACGCGCTGGGTCCGGCCGAGGCCCGGGGGTACTCAGCGCCCTGAGGGAGGAGCGGCTGAGGGAGCTGGGAAGGGGCTCAGCCTGGAGAAAAGGAGGCTCAGGGCGCCCTTGTGGCTCTGCACAACTCCTGACAGGAGGGGACAGCCGGGGGGTCGGGCTGTGCTCCAGGGAACAGGGACAGGAGGAGAGGGAACGGCCTCGGGCTGGGCCAGGGGAGGGTCAGGGTGGATTTTGGGAAATTCCTTCCTGGAATTTGTTCTCCAGCCCTGGCACAGCTGCCCAGGGCAGGGGTGGAGTCCCCGACCCTGGAGGAGTTGAACAGCCCTGCGATGTGGCACTTGGGGACATGGGGCAGTGGTGGCTTGGCAGTGATGGAGAACTGTTGGACTCTGTGATCTCAGAGGGTTTTTCCAACCTTAATTATTCTATGATTCTAAAGCTGCATGAGCAGCCTAAGCTTGGTGAGACTGAAGCTGTGCACTGCTTTTGTCAACTTTTTTTTGTTTCAAATTACGATAATTTTAAACATACTGGAGGGTGCGTGCAGCATCTTTCATCTACAAACAATTATTTTATCTAAGGACACACAGAAGTACCAGAGGTCCCATAAACAAATGACAGCACCCCAAGTTCGCTTTCACAGAAGCCCAAGATTTTGGTAGTGAAATGTGTGAACTATCACTGAAAACGGATTGGACAGACACTCACACTCTTCAGAAAGCTTGGAAATCCTTCCCGCCTGTGTCACTGACTTTGAACTGTCTCCTGCACAGCACTCAGAGGGTTCACAAGGTCACACATCACCTTCTTCCTCTTCTTCTTCCACATCCTCGGCTGTTTCAGCGTTATCCATTAACACACCTGAGTAACCCAGCACTTGCCAGCCTGACCTGGCTTCTCACGACACCAAAATGTGTGTTTATTTTGTTCAGTGGCTGCTGAGGTACCATGGCACATCACACGCAGCCCCAGTTGTTAATTCACCAAGGATTCCTGGCAGTTGGTGCATGGATGAGGAAGGCTTTGATGTCCCTGTTTGTGCTGGGTTCAGACCCATTTCGGCAGATATTGACTACCTCAGGTTGAATGTGTTAGCAACGAGGGCTTTATGTTCCTGTAGTGATAACACTTCCCTCCATGCTTAATAACCAGGAGAGTTCAGTGCCCCTCACTAGGATGGCCAGGCTGATGTGACACTAGCCACGAGTGTTCCAGCATCTTGTTACTAAATAAATATTATTTATAAATAATGATTTATCTTTTAACTGTACATGGGGGAATTCTGCTGTGGTATTTTCCCTGCTGGGGATAAGAAGCCAACAGGTCACACCCATGTCCCAGCAGTCAGCCTTCCTCTGCCTCTCTAGATGACATTGGGACTACTAAAGATGGAAGTTAATAATAAATGCCATTTTCTTGCAAAAATGCTGGTCATGACTAACATTGAGCAGTGTTGCTGTGGCAGAGCACCCACCACAGCTGGGACCAGCCCCTCCAGCCAGTGTCCTGCCACAGGCAGTCCCAGTGTGACCAGCCTGTCACAGCTGTGGTGGCTCTGGTGGGCAGTAGGTCAGATGTTGGCCAGCCATGGTTAATGGGACCATTTGACCACAGATCAGACTGGACTGGGCTGGAGCCCTGCCGAGGGTCAGCAGAGTCTCATCTTTGGGTCAGCAGTCAGGGATTCTCTCTGAGGGTCAACAGCTGTCTGAGGGAATTCCTCAGAGCTGAGCCCTTGCCTCTCTGGGGCAGTGACTGCACATTCCATAGAGAGGCTACCCCTCTAAACTCTGCATAATTCTCATGTCAGTTGGGTAGAACCAATTCCATGTTACATCACAAATCTGTACTCAAGTGTTTGCAGGGCTATAATTTCACTGATTTATCTGGTTTCTAGAAATAATCTCATTTTAACACTTTGTTTCAGTTTTACTATCTCCAGCAAAAGCAGCCTCCTGAGCTGACCTCATGCAACTGTGAGGAACAATGGTTCACATTTCAATGTGACAAACTGTCCTGTTCCACACATTTCTCATACAAGGCCTTTAGGTATCACCTGTCTGACAGGAATACCTGAGCCAAACTGAGGGAGTAGTTTACCAGGGATCTGCTGAATTTCAATATCCCTCCATCTTGAATTGAGGACAGGGTTTCCAGGAGATTCTCTCTGGCTCCATCACAAACTATCACAAACTATGGTGACCTGCAGCACCATCCAGCTGACTAAGCACAACTCTTCCACCCACTGTCCTGCACAGAGGAACCACCCACACACCCACCTGGAACAGATGGTAGGAAATCATCAGTGAGAAGCGAGGGGATCACAGAATTAAATAACGGTTTGGTTGGAAGGACCTTGAAGCCCATCCAGTGCCACCCCTGCCATGGCAGGGACACCTCCCAGGATCACAGAATTAAATAATGGTTTGGTTGGAAGGACCTTCTTGAAGCCCATCCAGTGCCACCCCTGCCATGGCAGGGACACCTCCCACTGTCCCAGGCTGCTCTAAGCCCCATCCAACCTGGCTTTGGGCACTGCCAGGGATCCAGGGGCAGCCCCAGCTGCTCTGGGCACCCTGTGCCACAGTCTGCCCACCCTGCCAGGGAACAATTCTTCCCAATATCTCATCTATCCCTGCCCTCTGGCAGTGGAAAACCATTCCCTGTTTTCTGTACCTCCATGCCTTGTCCAAAGTCCCTCTCTTGGAGCTCCTTTAGACACTGGGAGGGGCTCAATGGTCTCCCTGGAGTCTTCTCCAGATGAACAATCCCAAATCTCTCAGCCTTTCCTCGTAGCAGGGAATCCTGCCTAGCAATGCTTCCTTAGAAAGAAAACAACTCCTTGAGTTCTTATAAGAGAGGCTGGAAGGCCCTGGTTATCCTGGGAAGGACATCATGCCGGTTTGTTCAGAAAAGGGCAGAGGTGTTCTGTGCCCTACCAGTGATTCTGATTGTGAAAAGGGATATTAAATCCCTAACACACCTTAATCAAGGGAAAAGGTGGTGAGTAACAGCAGCTTGAAACCCGCAGAACTCCCCACAGAGGAAAGAAGGGACCAAACCCAGCAGCACTAATATAGAGATTTTATTTCAACTGTATCGAGTTGTACAGCACATTTTGTTTGTCACAATGCCATCAAACTGACTGGAGTTTTTGGCCAGCACATTGTGACGCTGAAACTCACAAGAGCTAAAAGCAGTTTGGACTAATGGCCTGAATGGAAGGGCCAGCAGTACCTGGTTTCTGGCTTCCTCATCACTTGCAGTCATTCCAACACGTGCAAAACAGGAGCAAATCCAAGTTTCTTCTGCCAGGCCAATGATCACGCTTTCATGTCTGGCAATGACTGCAAGGTACAAGGCAGGGGAGAATCTGAAGCAAGGTGCCTTCTCTTCCCAGAGCCAAGTTGGTTGTTCCCAGTATGGAAAAGAAGCAGAGTCTAAGTACAGGGTCTTCAGAAGATGAGCTTCACTTACACATCAGGATTTACAAAACCAGAGGCTGAGAAGTCAAAGTGCAGGAAAGGGTCCTTATTTCATTCCTTCTGATGGAGATGACAAACCATTACCGAAAGATCTGGGAGATCACAAGTGTTGATTCCTTTGCCTTGTTAGCAGACCAATCAATGTCCTTTGCCTTGTTAGCAGACCAAGGTCCTCCCTGCCACACACTGAGTCTCAGCTCCTGAAGTGCAGAATATATTGGAAAGAAAACCTGCATTTCTGCAAAGAAACGCCCTACTTTCAAACTCTTCTTCCTGACTAGTATCCACAGATGCCTTACAGAGGAGGCAAGATGGATGCTCCCCAAGGGATCAAGGGATTACAAGCCCACTTTATAAACCATTCTTCCTTTCTAAACCCAGTTCTTTGTCCTTAGGATGAGTTGGGATTCCTGCTCTCTAGTTTAAAGAAGAAGCAGAGAGGCATTTACAAGTTGGCAACTCTGAACTTTGACCACTGTACAGGAGACAAAAAAAGAAGTCAAATTCAAGAGGCATTTCAGGTAGCACTGGGGCAAGTCAGAGAGATTGTTTCCACCACTGAACAAATGCCACGTGTCATGGTTATCACTGCAGCTGTACATCCTAAAGTGAAAAGCACAGACCGTAGTGTCTATGTCAGCCAGTGTCCTTCCCCACCCCCATTTTGGTATCGATGCTTCATTCTCCCTTCTTCGGGTTACATTAAGTGCACAGAAATATATAGCAGCATTTGGACTGAAACCCTCACATACACCAGACAGCACATTCCAGGAGGTAAAACAACACATTATGGCCTATACCCTCAAGGTATCAAGTTTTCCGGATAAAGAGCAGTAGGAAGTTGAGAGCTGAGGGCAGAAAAGGGGAGGAGGAGCAACACAGGAACACGAGTTCTGTTTCCATGCCAGGAGAGGATCAGGGTGCCATTCCTGTGTTAGCACCAGGCTGTGACACAACTGCAGACAAAGCAGATGGGCAGAGCAGAAGTGAAAAGCCAATCTCCCATCTCCCCATGGTGCTGGGGGCAGGGACAAAGTCCAGTGCGACACCGATCCCAGCAGAGCCTGAAAATGGGCACAATCTGCTCAGCCCTTTTCAGCTGGAATGAATTTCTCTTCAGAGCCCAAGAGAAAATCAATTAGTGATGGCTAGTGAGTCTTGTTCACCAAGCTGATCGCAAATCACACTCAAGGGAAGAAAATCTGCTCCAGGCTGAGGCCCTTCCAATGCCCATGGGACCATCAGGAGCTTGCCCTCTTCCTTCTCACAGAGCAGCCTGCCTTTGCAGGGGGAGGTGGTTCTAAACATGCCTTTCTTTGCTTTGGAGGGACTTTGCACAGGCAAAGAGCTGTGAAAACATTGCTTTCCAGCCCACAAAAGGAAGAGGTTGTGATCTTTTCTCAGCCCTAAGCCATCAGGGCTACAACACACAGGCCCACCAGCTCTGGGGTGGGAACACAGCAAACTCTGATCTGAGCTCCTCTGCTCCAGCCTGGTAGTGAGGCTGCTGCAGACAGTGCATTCCAGCTTGGTGTTCAAGTGTTGCACCAAAGGCCTTCACAGATACCCTGGAGGCAGAGTCACCCTTCAAACCCACAAGAGAAAAGGCTGGGCTTAGACAGGTCCCTTGTCTGGCATTCAGCTGGAAGCTGTGGCAATGGGTTTCTTCATATGTTGGCTCATGAGCTCCCTGGCACGAGACACTTGGATATGGTCATAACAGGAGTTACAAACGAGGACAGGGTCGTACAACTGCTGATCGGGGATGGGCAGCTTCAGATGGCAGCAGGTAGCACAGAACACATTCCCACAGTTCCTGTCAAGGAGCAAGAAAACCAGTGAGAAGAGAGCTGAGACCACCACAGCAGAACTTTAGCAAGCACAAAGGGTCCAGGTCAGGGCAAAAGCACCAGCCTGACTGAGGACTGTAAATGTGTGCTGTGGTCAACAGTGTGAGCAAACTGCTAGTGCTGACAGGGACCCATTGCTGTCCCAGAAAGGGATCAAAGGCCTTGGAAAAATAGAAACAAGAACAATGTAGAATGGAATTCTGCAGGGAACTGGTGAGGCCTCGCATGTAGTGGAAAGACCTAAAAGCTTCTCCTGGGAGCTGGAGGGAACAGAACTGGCAAAGGGGCATTTTGTGACACCAAGCTGAGGGGAGGAAGGGCCCAGTGTGCTGACATTTTTACCTGCAGTGGTGCCTCCGTTTGGCCAGCCAGAACTCACAGTCGCAGTTGAAGCAGTGTGAGGCCATGTGGTCTGGGACCCACCGCGTGACCTAGGGCAGACACCAGTTAGCTCCCGTCTGTAAACCCCCAGTGACAGCTCTGGGCAAGCTGGGGGTGGCTTTGGGCCACACCTCACAGTCAGCCTACCACATCTGAGCAGCAGAGGATGTGTCAAGGACATGCTCACTGCCACACTTCCAGACCATTCTCTGCTGCTGTGCCCACCCAGGTCAGCTGCAAAAAACATTCCCTCCCACTGCATCACAGCTCCATGATGGGACACATACCTCAGTCTCCTTCTTATCCACAGGTTCCCAGCTTGCTTCTGACAAACAGTCCTCACTGTGGTCAGAACAGAAATCCTCCGTGTCGCTGCCGTCTGATTCCTTAAGACATGTCTGCAAAATGAGACCACGTCACCAATCCCTTCTGCTGCTGGGCACACACTCCAGGGCACACCCTGCTCCACACACTCTGTGCTGATGAGGGGCACCTGGGTGGCTCCTGATGCCCCAGACATGGGACAAAGCATCCATGAGTGTATAGGAGTTTGGTCCTCAAGCAGCAGAGATACCTCTGGGTGGAGGAGGACATGGCCAGGACAGGGACACGACTGACAGAGGAACCATCTTTCCCACCCCCTCCCAAAGGTATGGAGAGCTGTGGGTTGGAGAGGGAGGTGTACAGGGGTACAGGGACCCAGCGTGAGGTGTGAGCAGCCTCTACTCACAAAGTCATCCTCGTAGTCCATGGGGGGCTCGGCCGGAGGGGCGCAGAAGTGGCGAATGTCCAGGCGCAGCTGCAGCTCCCGCACCTGCCGGCGCAGCTGCTCCACCTCCTGCTTGTAGCTGGCCTCGATCTGCCGCAGCCGGTGCTGGATCACATCCGTGGGGAAGGGCAGCCCGTCGTCGTCCAGGTAGAGAGGAGGCACAGGAGAAGGACATTTTGGTGGCAGGTGCTTGGGACCAGAGGCTTGTTTCAGGTGACAGGGCAGCCACAAACGGCTGGGCTTCCCGAAATGTGTGCTCACATGGCCAGCGCAGGCTGAGGGCTTCCCGCCCTCCCTGCCAGACCATGGGCCACTGAGGCACAGGCCCGGGGCCCGCAGGGGTTTGCTGCTCAGCCTCTTGCTGCAGCAGCCATAGGAGAGGAGGTGTCTGGGTGTGGGCTCCCCATTGGGGAGCGATGTTACCATGCCTTGAAAACTGTCCCAGTTGCACCCCAGGAAGGAGAACTCGCTGCTTTGGCTCTGGGAAATGGGCTTGCGCCATTGCTCCAGCAGGAACCTCCCCGGCTGGCCAGGCTCCTCAAAGGGCATGCTCCGACCAGCATCACCTCTACCCTTGTCTGCATCTGGGCATGGGGTACCCAGGGCAGGGCCTGGGATGTCCTGAGAAGGGGTGCCTGGTGTCAGGGACTCCTGGCTGGAAATGTCTGGGCAGGTGGTGATTCTTTTAGGACAGCCTCCTCTGTTAGACACAGTGCCAGCAGCCTTCAAAGGTTCCTGGGGACAGGTTTCCAAATGCCTTCCAGAACTGGTGGAAACCTTGTCACTGTTTTCCTGTCTGGAAGGACTTGGATCTGGACCTCTGCCATCCAGTTCCTCCGTGAGTGTTCCATTTCCCTCTTCCACCTCCACAGGGATGCTGCTGGCTGGCACAGCAGATTGGCTGCCCAGCTGCCTGCTCGGCCCTTCGCGCTCAGCACGGCTGCTGCCTTGCAGGGGAGGGTTCTCCTCCTCCTCCTCCCTGGGCTGTGCCTCTCCTGTGGCCACTGCAGCACCTTCAGCCCCCTCAGTGTTGGCATGCCAGGCTTCCAAGCCCACCCGCACCTCCTGACAGTGGTTGTTCAGGTTGGGGTCACTGGATGTGCGGGTCAGAGGGCTGCTGGAGTCACAGGCTGAGAGCAGGTCATCCATAGATCTTGTCTTTGGTAATCTAGAACCCAAAAGCAAAGCAAATCTCACAATAAACCCCCCAAAACTTCCCTGGTTTCACTCAAAACTGAGATGAGGGCAGGGAAATATTCCCCATTACAGCTCCAGGGGTCGGTGGAGATAGGCAGTACAGCTGCAGAAGCTGAAATGCACATCACTGTGTGGCATCCTGCCTTTGGGGTGCAGCAGGGACCTCAGCTCCTCAGAGTGGCTGGGGCACTGCTACAGCGCTCTTGCTCCCAACAAGGAAGATGAGAACAACAACAGGGAAACTACAAGAAACTACAAGAAGGGCAGGAAGATCTGTGGGTATGCAACACCCTGAGCCTGAAGCTCTAAGGTCTCACCTGTCCAAACACCTGCCACTGAAGTCCTGGCTCTGAGATCCTGGGGGCATGTAGATGTCCATGTCCTCCTGTCCCAGAGGATGTGGCGAGGAGGCTGGGAGGTACACGGCTGTCCAGAGGTGCAGGGCGCGCACGTGGCACACGGGATGCAGCACCTGCAACACCGCCCGCGTCAGATCCAACGCCTCAGAAACCCCTTCAGCCCCTCCCCAGTGCCTGCCAGGGGAAAAGCCTGGAAAAGCAGGGTCAGGAGCTCTACTGACCTGCTCAGATCCGGGCATATAGAGCAGGTTGTGGAAGTTCTTGTTGCCAGCCCGCAGCAGGGACCAGACGGAGCACGTGCGCTTGTAGATGTTGTGCATCTCACGCTCACAGGGACTGTTCCCCAGGAAGGTCCCGTAGAGACAGGAATACGTGTGCTGCACCAGCTTCACCTGTGGCATGGAGGGGGAAACACACTTAGAGCCACGGGGAAAATGGACATGCCTACAGGAGACATGTCTTCCTCTGGGATGGCTCATGCACTGCCTACTCTGGGTGACCTCACTGCTGTCCTGGCTTCCACACTGGGCAGGACAGGGATCACCTCAATTGAAGAGAAAGTAACACTCAGCTGATACCAAACCCATCCCTCTAGAACCAAATGACTCTCTAGAACCCCACAAAACAGAGATTAACTTTTTCCCTCATTTTATTTTTTTTAAGTATTTCAGACCCATGTAGCTCTGAGATATGCAAATCAAACCAGTGCTACTGTTGGCATCTGAATTCCCTGAGGTGGAAAGGGACTGGAGAAGGGATTCAAGAAAACAAGAGTATATAAACCCTCCACCACCCCTTCACGGGAGAACAGATTTAAACTAAAAGAAAACAAATTTAGATGAGATGTTACAAAGAAATCGTTCCCTGTGAGGGTGGTGAGGCACTGGCCCAGGCTGCCCAGAGAAGCTGTGGCTGTCCCATCCCTGAAAGTGTCCAAGGCTAGACTGGACAGAGCAATCTGGAGTAGTGGAAGGTGTCCCTGCCCATGGCAAGGGATGGATGGAATGAGATGGGCTTTAAGTTCCCTTCCAACCCAAACCATTCTGGGATTCTGTGATCACATCACAATGTCCCAGGATCTGCAGACCTCTTTTCTTTCCACTTCAGAACTGTAAAACATCACGACTAGACACTCTGTCTCTGCTCACATGTATTTCTTACCAGAAAAGCTTCATTAAATTCGAAGAGGCAGGGAAATTGCTTCAGAAGCTGATGAACAGCATCCAGCCACTGGAGAAAAACTGGGCACTGCTCGTTCTGATCCTCCACCTTTTCCTGGTGTCCACAGCGATCCCCAAACTTGTGACCAAAGTCCAGCCAGTCCGATTCAACGAGCACCTGGAAGCCCTGTGATTAAAAGAAAAAATAACTGCAGAGACTTTGCTGAGGACATGTGGCAGGACAAAGCGAGCTCCATCCACCAGAAAAGGCTAGAAAGGAGGCTGCTGCTGTGCCTGGTTTGGGAGCAAAGCTCACCAGGGCTGGAGGTTTCCAGACACAAACTAACAGTTGTTATGTCTATGCAATAACCAGCCCAGAGAATCCAGAGTAGGGAAGCAGCTGAACTTTGAACACAAGATGGTATTTCCCACAGCACTTCCCCAGGCTGGGCAGAGGAATGAGGAACAATTCACCCAAAACAGGCAGGAAGAGAACAGAGAAAACTCAACACCCACCACAGCAGCTCAGAAACACCACTAAGCTTACTCCCAAATGCAGCGCTGCTCCTTTCCATGGGGATTCTGAAATAAAAGCTCCTTTGAACAGACATGAACTGCACCAGAGCACAATCCTACCTCCATGGTCCTGTAGTAAGGGTCCAGGAGAATCTTTGCCAGCGCCACAATCTGTGGAGTCCTGTCCCAGCCGTCGGAGCAGTGAACCAGCACCGGACGCCCTTCTCTATCCACGGCATTGGAGACCAGCACTGCTGCCTTCAGCATGACAGACAGATGCTGCAGCCACTTGGTGCTCTCCAGGGCTGAAAGCCAGCTGCAAAGGGGAAAAAAGGCAAGAATGGTTGCTTAGCTCTCTACTGAAGAAAAAAAAATACATCTTAACTTCAGTTTTCTTGGAGCCCTCAGTGAAAATCAGTCTTTTCTAAAACATGTCCCAGAGGAGCCAGGGAGCCTGGAAAGAAGGGCAAAGAATCCAACCCAAATTTAATTTTTCTCAGATGAAACCCCCAGAGGATACACACAACCAAGTGACACTGAGATAGTGCCACAACCCCTTCTGGATTAATGGATCTAAATCAGCAGCATTCAAGCACTATGAACACTTTCCCATCCCACCATTTTCTCAGTTAGAAACCTGGGATAAAAAAAGGAAAATGGAGTGGAAACCCTCCCCAGGTCACTGACATATATGGCATCAAACTCAGCTAGAGAAGAGTCACTCACTTGCTGGGGTCTGGCACTTGACTGCAGACAGCACGCAGATACTGGAAGCTGTTTCGGATGGAGTGGATGTTGGCCATGCCCATGAACACAACTTCACAGTTGGGGTAATACTCTGATACAAGAGACAGGAACATTTAGAGAGAGCTACAGCAGCTAGAGTACATTCTGAGTTGGAAGGGACCCACAAGGGTCATCGAATCCAACTCTGCTGCTACTGCAGCAACTGCCTCCACACCCCAGTGCAGCCACCCCTTCCACACCACCCCTGGTGTTCATGGAGTCACTAAGGTTGGGAAAAACCTCCACCATTGACGCATATCCCCAAGTGCCATATCCACGGAGCTGTTAAACCCCTCCAGAGATGGCGACTCTTAACACTGCCCTGGGCAGCTGTGCCAGGGCCTAACACTTCAATGACGAAATTTTCCCCATATCCAACCTAAACCTCCCATGGCACAGTTTGATGCCACTTCCACTCATCCTGTGCCTTGTTCCCTGGGAGCAGAGTCTGACTCTCACCTGGCTGTCCCCTCCTGCCAGGGAATTGTGCGGAGCCAGAAAGTCCCCCCTGAGCTTCCTCTTCTCCAGGCTGAGCCCCTTCCCCAGCTTCCTCAGCTGTTCCTGGTGCTCTAGACCCTTCCCTAGCTCCATTCCCTCTTCATGGTCTTTCTTGTCCTAATGGGCACAAAACTGACCCCAGTGGCCAGATAAGGGGGACTGTCACTAACCTGTGACATTGCTGCTGGTAGAGCTCAGGTGTCATTGACCTGTTGCTCACCTGGGCATACCTAGGCCCAAGTTCAGCTGCTGCCACCCAGCACCCCCAGGTCCTTTTCTATGGGGCAGCTTTCCAGCCACTCTGCCCCAACCTGGAACGTTCCAGTGGGGCTGTTGAGAACCAAACGCAGGACCCAGCACTTGGCCTTACTGAACCTCATCCAATTGGCCTTGGCCTGTTGATCCAACCCGTCCAGATCTCTGTGTGGGAACAGGCTCCCAGAGACCAAGCACCAAAATGCCGTCCCAATCCCCAGCTGTGCCCTAAGAGCCACTGCCAGGCCCAAGAGGAAGATGCTTTGGGATGTTCTTGGCTCTTGGTACCTTCGCATTCGCAGCCGCCTCCCTTGGCCCTGTTGGCCACAGCTGCCGTGTAGGACCTGGCATCAAGGATCAGCAGCTTCTGAGGGGTTCCTGCGTTCTCCACGCCTGAACACGCTGTCAGGGATGAGTCTGCAGGGACACACAGGGACTGAGATCCTGGCACCTCTCTCCCTCCCTCCACCCCACTGCCACCGTGAATGAGCCCAGAGAGCCACCCACACACCGCAGTCACGGCACAATTGGGCCCAGGTTCTACCCCTGGACACTGGGGTAAAGCCTGCCCTGGGACAGCCCTGGCAGGCCCTCTGCGATGTCCCCGCTCAGGAGGGCTGGCAGGAGCCATCTCACCGAAGTCGGCGTCGCAGGGCTCGCTGCCGTCGCTGCTCCCGGCATGCGGCGCGGCGCCCGACGCCCTCGCTCCGGGGTTCAAGGCACAGGCTTTGGCAATGGACGTCACCAGGTACTCGTCGTCGGCGTTCCGCCAGCCCCACCAGCTGATCTCGGGCTGGCTGCAGCGCGCGATCACCGCCCCGTTGCGCACGTGTCTGCGGGGAACAGAGAGCCCCGCTGAGCCCCCGGGAGCGCAGGGCCGGCCCGGGACACGCTCCCTGTGCGCAGCCACACCTGAGCTACCCCTGCCTGCAGCTGCTCTATCTACAGCACTGACTCTCGTCGAGAAGTGAAAGAGGGCAGGCAATCTCAAACAACCATTTTTCATCAGCGCAGCACTGACAGAGAGGCTAAACCAGACTCATACTTTTATTTACAATAATATAGAATCATTTCGGTTGGAAAAGACCTTCAAGACCCCCAAGTCCAATCTCTGACTTCTATTTATACGTATTAATATATCCTGCAGCCTATAGATATATAAAATAGATATTATTGTATATAGATATGACTGTATTTATAAATTAAACCAGAGAGAAGAACTTAAAATCATTATGGTTGTATTTTGGGAAAGTAATAGTTATTTCATAGACTCATGGAATACTTTGAGTTGTAAAGGAGGTTGAAGATCATCTTATTTGACCCCTCTGCCATGGGCACGGACACCTTCTACTTGATTTTAAAGCTGTTCTGTTCTCTCCTCTTTCTTTTTTTCCTCCCTCAAATTACAGACCTGTTGTTAAACCATTTCACTTATCACCTGTAAGTTGGGAAGATGAGCTCACTTGGCATCAGACCAGGGAGTTTCTGGGTGGAGGCCTGGTGTTTATCAACAACCCCTAAATGTGAACCCTACCCTGGCTGTGCTTACTGATGAGGAGGCCTGAAGTAGGAATCAGTGCATTTCTCACATGAACACATGGTCAAGTCATTCCTAAGTGGCCTGGAAAGGGAAGGGACTGTGATGTGACAAAGCTGCTGACGATAGAGAATGACCCAGAGAGTGTGAAATTTAGCATTAATAAGTGAAGAGTATTTACAGATGATCAAAGCATAACCCCAGCTGTGACACAGAGCAGTTTGGTGCAGATCCCAAAGGCTTTGAAGTCACTGGGAAGCTCTCAAAAGCCTCAACTCAGTGCCCAAAAGAAGCATGAAGGTTAAGGATGCGCTAACAGTTACTGGGAAAGGAGTAAGAAATAAAATATTATGGCTTCACATCTTAGCCATCCTAAAATGACACAAACTCCTCTCAAAAAGGATCATGTTGTAGTTGAACCAAGCTCCAGAGATGGGTGGCACAGACACAAGCAAGCACTGGAATGGTTATGCCATGTTTCAGAAACACAAGTATTTCTTGGACAAGAAACAAAACCAAGAGTGGACTCAGAGGCACAGTGCAATGTGTGTGGAACTACTAACTGGTTCCAACACTTGGTGGCAGGTTCACCAAGTGACCATGAGACAGTCACCCATTCTCTCAAAAGGGTGTAGGAAATCTAAAATAGCAGATGCACCAGGAAAGAGCACCTGCATCCCTATCCTGTTTGTTACATTTCCCTGAGGTGCTGCTCCTGCTACCTGGTCCTTCTTGGAGATGGGAAAATGAACTCAACAGCCCTGAACCAGACCCACACACCAATCATGTTCAGTCATCCCACCACTCCTGCTGCAGCATTTATCTGGAGACCACAGAGGCAAGGAATGATTTGTGGTGGAAGGAACCTTAAAGCACATCCCATTCCACCCCCTGCCATTGGCAGGGACACCTTCCACTGTCCCAGGCTGCTCCAAGCCCCATCCAGCCTGGCCTTGGGCACTGCCATGGATCCAGGAGCAGCCACAGCTGCTCTGGGCACCCTGTGCCAGGGCCTGCCCACCCTGCCAGGGAACAATTCCTGCCCAATATCTCATGTCACCCTGCCCTCTGTCAGTTTATGTAGCTTCCTTAATGACATCTCACAGATAATAACAATGAAGACTTTAAACTGAGGCCTTCCAAAGAAATAATGTTCATGTCAGGCCAAGTCAAAACACTGTGGGGACCCTTTACTTTAAGTGCTGCTCTGTTTTGCAAGGTGACTTACAGAGCAGTCACTCCCAGGAGATCTATTCCTGCCTTCAGGATCACTCAAGGATGGATAACAGAGAGCAGCAAAGGCTTTGTTTATGGTAGTAAATGAAACAGAGCCAAGGTGTGGACTTAAGCACAGCCTGTGATCACCCAAGCCTGTTTGTGAGCCACCCACAGCTCCTGGCCTGTGCCAAGCAGCACTTTCCCAGACAGTGCCTGAGCACGTTTTTGGGAAAGGCAGGTGCTGTGCCAGGGACTGCTCCCAGCAGGCAGCTTGGGGGACAGGGCAGGGTGCGGGGCACTGCAGCTGCTCCGGGCAAAGCTGCCGACGTGGCTGCGGTCAGGCTGAACTCACGAAATTCTTGGTAACACAAACCTCTGAGCACTGAACAACGGCTGGGGACCTTCAAGGGACACGATGACCTGCCAGTAAACAAGGAAATGTGGCAGCACCAATGAGTGTGAAGCCACCAGCAAGCAAAAAGTACAGCAGGTGCCAGCAGAGGAACCAAAACCACAGCTGAGCTTGCAAGGAGCTTCCCAGGGCAGGGGAGCACCAGAACCTGACTCTGGCTTCCCTGCACATCTCCCCAGCGCGAGAGCACAGGAACCATTTAAGGCCTTTTCTTACCTGGGAGTTTTGGGGAGGTTTTTCTCAAAGGAAAAAGGCTCTTTCTTGAAACTGGAATGTCAGAAAGTGCCAGAAAATTAATTCTTTAGGGATCCTCAGTTTAGTTTTAATGACTCAAGACCCTTTCATGGTCCAAAACTGCAATATGAAGTGCCTCTGTAGTTTATCAGTTGAGTTTTTCCTCACAGATTCATTCTGAGCACAAGGTTAGAGCACATCTGATACTGTCAGCATATGCCATTGAACCTCCACCAATCCTCCACAATGGATTAATACCTACTTTAGTGGAAGGCAGCAGGGGGGTTGGAAGTAGATAATTCTCAAGGTCCCTTCCAACTCAAACCGTTCCATGATTCTGTGATCTCCCAAGTCTCTCTGTTATTTCCTGGACAAGTCAAGGAGCTTGGCTCAAAGCACAAGAAAGAGCTTGGAGAGGGTTTACTGAGCCGAGCCTAAAGGTTCCCAACTGAGATGTCTGTGTGTGTAAGTGCTCCATTTCCCAGATCTCTGGGATAAACTCTCGCTTTGCTGTGGCAGGATGTGAGAGCCCGAGAGCGAGGCTCAGCCATGGGGTGGAGCAATGCCCGCTGTCCCCTGGCAGGGGATGCAGAGCGTTGGGAGGAGCATTCCTGCTGCCACAGGCCCAAGGTCTCCTCAAGGTGGCTGAGCAGACAGAGCCAGAACAGCCACACCATGCCTGTCTGCCTCTCTACTCAGCTAAATAATTGATTCCATCCTTTGCCTTGTTTTAGAAGTGGATTGTGCCTGGAGGCTTCTGCATCTCTCCTGTGCATCTCTGCTGAGGACTGAGATGGAGACCTGAATTTCTGTTTTGCTTAATAGCTAAATTATACTTTTTTCAAGAAATCTGATACTGGGGTACCTTTGGTGTCATGTTTTACAGCTCTGACTGTGACCCAGTGAGATCAGCCTTATCCAAAAGCTCTGAGGTCTATCAGCGTCCCTTGGGATGCAGGCACCCATCCCTTCTCTCCTGAGCTCCGAGTGAGGACGAGAAGCTGAGTGACAGGCTTTTCATTTCCACAAAGCACAAGGCATTGCAGAAACAATGGAGAAACCCTCAAGGACCCTCCCACTCCAAAGACTTCAATCTTGAGGGCAAAGACTAAAAAAAGTGCACAAAAATCAGAGACACATGGGCAAGCACTTGCCCCATCTTGTAACATCACTTGTCAGCATCTTCTAATCTGATCCCAGGCTGCAAAGGGTTGTGCTCAGCTCATAAATTACTGGGTACCATTACAGAGATGTAAAGCAAGGAACAAAATAATTGCTGGAGTAGGAAAAAGACATGGCTTTGCCCTCGGGTGGGGAGGCACAGTGGGACAAGCTCCAGCACCAGGCCATTTTTAGCAAAAGGAATCACAAATACAATTAACTTCTTAGCTGAGCTGGCTACAAGGAGGGAAAGGCTCCATCCGATAAGCTGTGCTCATTCCCACTCTGCTGCAAAACTGAGTTCTAGAAGGAACACACACTGTTTTGCCACATCCAACAGCAAGCCATGAAGTGTGATGATGCACAGTTAAGGTACCTGCAAATTCACTGGTCTTGCTTCCTGACTTTTGTATTTTCTAGTACAGCTCTGATCTTTTAAGGTTTTTTTTTATATTTGTATTTGGTGACTGCTAATACACAGTCTAAGGCTACAAACCATAATGTACATTTTACAACAGCACAACTGCCTGGGTGCCCCTTTCAATCAGCCTCCCGTTGGTTTCAAACACATCAGTCTCCCAGGAGACACATTTAATGAGGAACCAGCCCCTACCCTGCACAGCCCTGCTCCATTGACTGTGTGGCCTCCTCCAGATTTTTTCTGGAAGGCTGGTCACAGAATTACAGATTATTCTATAAACTCGAAGGGACCCCCAAGGATCATCCAAGTCCAACCCCTGTCCCTGCACAGACACCCTAACAATCCCCCCCTGGGCATCCCTGGAGCTCCTGGAGCCCTAGCAGCCTCGGGGACATGTCAATTCCCTGGGCAGCCTAAGCAGTGCCCAGCACCCTCTGGGGGAAGAATCTTTCCCTAAAATCCCACCTAAACGTCACTGACATAGCCATTCCCTTGAGTCCTGTCCCTATTCATCAAAGAGCAGAGATCAGAGCTGCCCCTCCACTGCCCCTCGTGAGAAGCTGCAGATTTGGGCATTCCCAGGTCTGTCCAGGCCTGCACACCCTGCTGAGCACAGCGCACCCAGCAGACTCCTTCTGGCTCAGATTTCTTTTCAAAGCAGCAGTCAGACAAGGACCAACGTGTGGAAAGATTTTGAGAGAACTTTAATTTGACCTCATCTTGCAACATCTCCCATAGGAGGAAAGTCACCCACACCTTCAAATCTGACTGAGAACAGCAAAGGACAGTTCTGGAACACTGCTTCTCTCTTCTGGAAAACACCCTGCTGCAGATGGTGCAGGGAGAAGGAGCCCTGGGAGCGTCTCCTTTGCAGGCAGGAGGCAAAAGGATAAACAGTTCTCCTTAACACCCCTGTCCCAAAACCCCTGCAGGACTACGAGGACATGGCAGCTGTCATGGGTTTGGGGGAAGCAATTTGGGTTTGCATTTACCTGTACACCACCACAGGGATCCTCTTCCATGACCTGAATGAAGCCACGTTCTCCAGCTCCTTGTCAGTGATCCAGACAGGGACCAGCAGCTTCTGGGGATAACTGGAACAAAGTCTGGAGAAGAGAAAGCATGAAAGGTAAGATGAAGACTGAGCAATCAAAAATCTGCCTCAGAGCAGCTCACATTTCCCCAAACTCAAGGTGCAGGACCTCCTCATATCTGTCTCAGTGCAGCCTCAACTGCACTTAGTCTCAAGTGAGACAAAACATGCTGTCAGGAATGAGCTGAGAGAAGACAACCTCTTTTCACCTCAGGCCTCACCTCTGGGCTCATACTAAGGATCCTAGTACTTCTCAGGATGCCTTTGGAACAACCTCTGGATTTAAGAATTCATGAGGGTTTAGGGGAATAGTCAAAAATTTACAGGGAGTTTTTGTTTTCTTGTAGCAGGTACACACAGAGCTTCTGGTAAAGAATGGCCTACCACTTTCTGCCTGACAGAACATGATACATTGTTCAGTGAGGAAGACACAAATCTGCCCAGAAATTTAGCAGTGGGGACTGGGGGGTATGATAATAAAATGACAGAAGTGAGATCTACATCATAACTTGTTTGGCGGAGTGCCAGAAATCAAATTCTTGTAGCTATCTGAACATGTACCGGCAGTGAGAGAACTCTGAGAGCAAAGACCACTGCCAGAAGGCAGGGTGACATGGGATATTGGGGGAAAACTATTCACTGGGAGGGTGGTGAGACCCTGGCACAGGGTGCCCAGAGAAGCTGTGGCTACCCCTGGATCCCTGGAAGCATCCAAGGCCAGGTTGGACAGGGTTTGGAGCAGCCTGGGATAGTGGAAGGTGTCCCTGCCCATGGCAGGGGGTGGAATGGGATGTGCTTTAAGGTTCCTTCCACCACAAACTATTTTGGGATTGTAGCACACACAGAATTCCAGCAGTGCAGGGGGGTCCTGCAGCTCCTCCCCTGCCCCTGCTGCTCCAAGTACAGACCAAGGGCAGGCTCAGACACAGCAGTGCCTGGGACCTGGACCAGCTGAGCCCCTGCAGCCAGGCAGGCACAGGAGGGTACCTGGCAAGGAACATCAAAGAGCAGCTCTGGCTCAAGGCTATCCCACATCATTTAGCAGGAATGTTTCAGGGCAGATGGGGAGCAATGTGAGGAGGATAGGATCCAGCCAGTAAGCTCCAGAGGGTGGTCTGGTCTTCCTGAGCCCAGGTAATTCCAGCTGATGGCAACAGGCACAATTCAGTATTAGTTTATGGTGCTAGTGAAGAACTGCCTGCCACGTCAGAAAATGGCACTGCAGTGTCTAGACAGCTCCTCTGAGAGCCCCAGGCAGAAAGCAAGGGTGGCTAAGGGATAAAAACAATTGGGTGAGTATGAGGAATTCAGGAAGCAAAATTAAAGCTGTCAGTTAAGAAGATGAAGACTAGGTTGTTTGTGGTAGGATGTCTGGGCTTGGCATCTCTGAAATGCCTCAGATTCCATAAGTAAAGGTGGTCAGGAAATTAGAGAAGCAGTGAAGCATGACTGAAGATGCAAGAATGTGGGAGAGGGCTAGCACCTGTTCAGGTCTGGAGGAACTTCTGGAATCGCTGAGTCTATACATGAACAGGCTTTACTGAAGTGCAAACAGTTCCCTGACACCTCAGATGAAACATGGGTATGTCTTAAAAGTACAGACTGGGGAGAGGTAGTCCAGGAGAGGCTCAGGAGTGTATCTTCCAAGAGTTAAATCACTAAAACTCTGTAGCCTTAGGGAAACAATAAGACAGAAATCAATAAAATTCAGGTAGGAAACAGGACATCTTTAAGAAGTGAAGCCAAATTCAAGCAGGGTGCATAGAAACAGACAATAAGGTCAAGACAAAGAGACATGTCTTTCTAGGCTAGAATTCCAGAGGAATACAGTAGTGGAAGTGAAAACTCAGGATAAGCAACTCTGTTGGCTTAGAAGTATTTTATAAACTCATACAAGGAAGGGTATCTGTGGCACCCTAAGTTTCAGGGTACAAGCTTTATAGGAAGGCCGAAATAGGCTGAGCTTGTGAACGAAGTGTGGGCAACTTTCCAGGGGAAGGTGGGGGTGACCACCAGAACGTGCATGGATCAAACCCCAAGCCTAAAGAGAAACAGGACAGCACTGAGGCAACACTACCAAGCCCTGGAGTGACAGTAATGACATCCACAGAGGCTGGAAGAGAAGCAGAAAGCCTGCAAGGGCAGAAATTCCCATGGGAGACTTGTGTTGCTTCCACACAGAACAAGTGTCTGAACCAAAGGTGACATTTTCAGACACAGACTGAAAATGTCACCTGTCAAACAGGTGTTTCTTGGTGCTACCAGCAAAATCATACAGAAGTCTCTGACTCTTCCTTTGGACCCAAGCTGCTCCAAAGTAGAATAACTGAAAATTCCCTTTGTTACAGCATTCATCACTCAGTAGATTCAAAAATGTTTTTAGAGAGGATAAGGCTTCCACAACAGCAACACCACCACAAAGGGTTAAGTTCAGGGCACTTGGGTTTTGGGTCAACATGGCTGTTGGGAGGGAGGTCGCTCCTCATGTGTGAGAGCTACCTGAAACATCAGTGAATGAGCAGATAGGGCAGATTTAGATTTTCAGAAGTGTTTTTTTGGAATTTTCTGTGTGCCTGTATTGAACAGCTGCGTCGCCATAGAGCTGAAGGACGCTCCTCTTAGGAAACAGCTGCTCTTGAGAAGATACGAAATAGCTCAGAACCCCAACGATCATTTTTCACCACAACTGGAGTCCTAAAGGGAACCACCTGCAGTGGGGTGAGCTGGAAAGCCCCAGGACCAGCCTGAGCCAGACAACGAAGGGAAACAGCCTTGAACTGTGAGGTTTGATGGCAGGAGAGGGTGGCTGGAACAACACAGACACAGGAATCAGCATCTGTGAATGAGTATCAATGGAGAACCTTCTTACCACAGAGATAACGAGGGAGAGGAATCACGGAATACCCTGGTTTGGAAGGGATCCATGAGGATTGAGTCCAGCCCCTGGATCTGCACAGGACACCCAACAATCCCATCCCATCCCTGAGAGCCTTGTCCAAGCTCTTGTTTCACAAAAGGCAAACACGTGTACCACAAACAGTCCTCACAGACCTCACACACTTACTGTCCACATGTTCCTATGGCAAATCCAAGCAGGGACAGTAATTATCCCTTTCCAATGGTATGTATGGTATTAAAAATTTATAGAGAAGTGTAAAAAAGACAAAATTTGAATTAAGAGCAGTCTCAGAGACCAGTAGGAAACACCATCTGGCTAAAGCAGTAACAGAACTCCAGGCAACTTTCTCCTCATAAACTCAAAAGTTAAATAAAATCACAACCGTAAAAAGATGAAACCTAAAAATGAGCATCAACACTGGAGGAAAAGTGTTTTTGGTTTTTTCCTTTTTTTAAAAGAACTACATGTGTACCAAACACATCAGTACTAAGGCTGCTATGAAACAACTGCCTCAGAGAGCCTGTGTGGACCAGATGGGCAATGCTGGAGTGATCCCATTTCCCTGCGTATAAGATCCCTGAAGATGTGAGAGCCAGGGAGAGACCATGTAATAATTTTATTATCACTGTACACTTTTATCAAGACTGAAGGAGTGGTTATCATAAGCTTGTATTGCTCTCATTTTACAATGGCTGTCGCCAGGAAGGAGATAATAGTTCCCAGATAAGGACATCTCGAAACAGACTTGAAAGACAAGGAACAAAGCCATTACCTTGGAATATCCTGTCTTTAACAACACTGTTTTGCCAATGCAGGGAAATAAAAGATAAAAGGACTATAAACAGTTAAAAAGTAACCTGATCTCTGTGAATAGAGGCAGGTGGTTATGATCAAAAGCCAGGGCAAGATTTAAAGCCACACTCCTCCAGCCGCAAGAGAGAACTGGTTTGAGTCGCACAAGGCAATTACACCACCCTGAGATCCCGGGATGTCTGCAGGAAGCTGGGACCTGCAAGGATCCCCAGGGAGGAACTTGGCAGGTGGAGGGAAGCAAAGGCAGGCCCACGCCCAACTTGCTGAGGTTTGTTTTAAGTCCTTTCTTTCCTGGTTTGGTTGGAAATCAAACACTTTTCTTCAGAGAAGGTGGTTAATGGCTGTGGATTATTTGGCACAAAGCAAAGCACAGATGGTCAATGGAAGCTGAACTTCCTGAAATAGTCAGAGGGAACCACACCCCACGACCCAGCAGGGAAGAAGGCCCGACATACAGAGACTCTGTCTAGGGCAGGGACCCACAGGCTGTGCACTCCATAACAGAGCAGTTCAGGACAAAACTCTTATTTGGAAACCTTGGAGAAACTGTGTAAATGCCAGCAAAGTCATGTGAACAGTCCCAAAGCAACAATGTGGTCAGTAGGGCAGAGGTAAAATGGAAATCACCCCCAAATTTAGTGCATGTGGCCTGGATTCTTCAGGAAAAGAGAACAGGCAGCAAGCTCCAAAACTGGGATTTCCCCAGTCCAGTGTTTCTGAGATTTCTTATGATCTCCTCAGGAAACCAGTGACCTAGAACTGTCCAGTCCATAGGTGATGGGGATGCCTGGACTGGCTGGAACAGAGAGGAAAGGCTGAGGGATACCAGTGGTTTCAAGAACGGGATTACAGGAAATGCACAAATGAGTATGTCCATCAAAGTTTGAAATCCCATTGGCTTAATGTCACCTGCTGCAAACAGTGCAGCTGCCCTTCTCCAAGAGTGTGCTCCTGCCGGAACAGAAGGCAGGCTAGAAACACTGATTGGTGGCAAAAGGTCTCTTCCACTGTGAGAGTGGGAAAACCTTGTAGAGATCTCCACCCCAATGCCAACAGGGAATGCTTTCAACACTGGCTCAACTGAAACGTCACACCACAGTGATGGAGAACCCCCTGTGGGGATGCACCCAGCACACCACCATGTTCCTAGGGAATGCTCTTTTGCCTTCCACACTGTGAAGCTCCCAAGCTGCACTTTGGGCCACCACCTCTTGTTCTGCCATGTGCCACTGCCAGAAGTTTTACTCCATGCTCTTTGTGAATGCCTTGCCAGCAGCTGGAGGCAGATCAGCCTTCAGCTTCTCCTGCTCTGACTGAAGGAGCCTCGCTCATTCCCAGACTCCTGAACCTGCCAACAGCTCTCACACTGGCTAACCCCAGCTCCTCACAGAGCTGAACAGCTGCATGAGTGTAAGAAAACTGTGGCTGTTATGTCAAACTGAGCATTCCAGAGAGAAGGACTGACCTGAAAGACAAACCCACAATGGATGGACCTCCAGACTCCCAAATGTTTTCCATGAGGAATAAGAGCCACACATGATAAAACTACCTGAGTCAGCATTTACAGTTCCTGCTAGCTCTGATGTTTGGGCTGTTATTCCCTCTCCAATTCCACGATGTAAAAGGCAGAAAGAAAAGGGATCTGGCTCATACTCTGATCAGCCTGGGAGCTGTCAAGGCCAGGAAGGAGGGTTAGATGGAGTCTGACTCACCCACTGCTCCACACGGGGATTACCAAGGGGAAAGTAAGGCAAGAGGAGAGTGGGGAGGGGCTGGTGATGAAACACTCACTTGTAGTTGTTGTTGATGTCAGAGACACGCCAGGCGTTCTGCAGGTCGAAGCCCATCCTCACCAGCTCCATCTCGAACCGGAACCTGACGTGGTCCCCTGAGGAACAGAGCACAGGAAGTCACTGACAGCACACAGGAATCTGAACCTGCTTGTGGAACTCCACAGCAACTGTCACAGTTGGCTGGAGAGAGACACGAAACCACAGAAAGGTTTGGGTCAGCAGGGACCTGAAGCTCATCCCGTTCCATCCCAGGCCATGGGCAGGGACATCTTCCACTATCCCAGGTTGCTCCAAGCTCCATCCAGCCTGGCCTTAGACATTTCCAGGGATCCAGGGGCAGCCACAGCTGGGCACCCTGTGCCAGGGCCTCTCTATTCCCTGATTCAAGAGTTCCTTTTAACATCCCATCTAACCCTGCCCTCTCACTTTAACACTGTTCCCCCATGTCCTGTCACTACCCACCCTTATACCTTTTTTATAATCCCCTTCAGGCCCTGCAAGTGGCTCTGAGGTCTCCCTGGAGCCTTCTCTTCTCCAGGTGAACACCCCCAGCTCTCTCAGCCTGGCTCTAGAGCAGAGGGGCTCCAGCCCTGGGAGCATCTTTTTGGCAAGGAGAAACTCCAGGACAACTGGATGGCAGAAACGGATTGTGCTTCAGAAGCCAGGAAGACTTGTCCCTCAAAGGGGTACCCCTGCTTATTTTGTCAAGTCAGATCTCATCTCAGGGCACAGAAACAGCCTCTCCATGTCAAGGGGGTGTATGGGGGTTAATTGAACACACTTCTGCCCATCTGGTAGAGACAGCTTCCAAAGTGGATGTCAGGAACCCTATGGCAAGGAGCACTGAGCACCCACCTGAGGCAGTTCCTTCCTCCAGACTGCTCTCAGATGCTGACTCAAGGTTTCTTCTCTCATGTTTTAGCCTTGCCCCACTAATTCTGGATGCCTTTGTTGCTCCAGTGTCAAATCTTGTTAATAAATAAATACTGCAAAGCTCTTTACCTCAGCCATATCCTGCAGCAACAACTTGAACTGGTGAGTTTATTTACACTAAGCACTTTCCCTAAAGGAAACACAGCAAGTAGCTCTGATTGCTGGGGTTTGGGCTATGGTAAGGACACAGAGCCTACCTTTCCTCTATCAGCTTCTCTTGGAATAGGTGTACTACTGAACCCCACCCCTCCATCTCTCCTGTCTTTGGACATTCTATTCAGGCTACTGCTGCTCTCCTCTAGGATCAGCTCATTTTTCAGTCTAAAGCATGTTTCTCACTCATTTTAATCCCATTTTTAAACAGCTTCATCATCGATAAGACAAAGCAACTGCAAGTGAACTTTGTGTTCCCAGGGAAAGGAAACTCCCAGTCCACACGAGGGCACCAGCACAGCTCTGGTTTCTCTTCATGGACTCAAAGCTTTGATTTGCTTTGATTTTGTCTTCATGGACTCATCTTGTGTGAAGATGAGCCAGAGCTCTCCACAGACCTGATTCTGGGAATGTCACGGCCTTTTTGGGTGTTGGTGAAGAGATGCAGATGGGCTCATTAATTAGGCTGCCTCAAAACTGATGCTATTTGCCACTCCAGGATAGGACTGCCTGAGGTCTCTATCACTGTGATGAGAGAACTTAAGTACGGGATGTTTTCTCTCTCAAGGAGAAAGGGAAAAGCTGCTTCTGTGTTGCTGGTTCAGAAAGGTTTTTGTTGTGTTTGTAGCTAATTCCTTTCACTGTGCTTCTTATCCAGCAGCATATGGCCATCAGCTGGATCTCTAGGCCAGGCACAGGATGACCCAGGGAGGCAAATTTGAAACCGGACAGGGTTTATGAACAAGAGCTCAACTGCAGTGCAGTGCTGCTTGCCAGAGCAGCAGGAAGGTCCAGGCCAGGAGCTCACCAGGACGGCAGAGATGTGCATGTTGATCTTCCTCATCCACACACACCCCCAAGCACCAGGCGTGGTAGGCGAACGCAAAGAGATCCTCAGGCTTGGCAGGGCGGGCAATGGCTCGAGTCAGCCTCTTCAGCCACTCCTGGCACTGCTTGAAGGTGGAGAAATGGCACCTGCAAACCCAAAGGCAAATCACCCTTAGTGGGGACATTCACCCAGCCAGGACTGAGACAGGAAAAGAAAACGGCCCCAAGGCTGAGAACCATGAGCAAGGGCAGCTCAGTTCCAAAGGTGTCACAAGGGGAGCCACCAGAGCTGGCCCCAGCCTGCAGCACCAGCAGCTGCATCACAGCAATAAACCAGATACCTGATCACTTTGGAGTCTTTGCAGACAATGTGAAGCTGGAACATATCCCGACACTCCACACTTTCCATCATCCTCAAAGGCACCTGCGAGGGAGGGACAGATGTAGGCCAGGACACCACAGGGCAGAGCAGCCCCAGCAGCCATGCCCGCAGGCTCCTCACGCTGCAGCACAGCTCCACCAGTCACGAGCTGCTTCTGTGAACTACAATCCCACTCCCAGGGTTATGGAGCTCCATGAGTCAGCACAGAGCTCTTCCATGATTATTATTCTGATTTCTGTTCTCTCCCTCGGTGATCTCCCACTTGGGACCAGTTCCTGACTCAAGCACATCAAGCCAAGCACAGGTAACTGAGCCAAATAACAGCTACAGTATGGGACAGCAAGTCAAGGCAGTGAGAGAAAGCCTCAAGCTCCCACTGCCTGACTCTGCATTGGTGAGAAGTCTCATTAAAATTGGCCTGCAAGAGACCTCAACAGCCTTAAAACCACCAAAGTTATTGCTTGAATTTAAAGAAAACAGCAAAGACCTACTTACTATCCAAAGGAACACCCCATCCTCACATTTAAGTACAGTAACAAAACAGCAACTGCATGCCCAGGCCTGGCATCCTCCAAGAGGCACCTTCCTGTGCCACAGCCCCCAGGAACAGGGAATTCCCACCCCTGCCTGTTCTGGAACCCTGGGAGAGGTGATGGTGCAGGCAGATCCAGACTCACATTGATCACAGAGTCCTTGAATTTGATATGCAGGCGGTAGTTGGAGATGGCGATCACAGCGTCGTTGGCATGGCCCAGGTACTCCACCCCCTCACCCTGCAACACAGTGAACGGCACCTGGAAGGGAGACAGCACCAGGTCAGGTCACACATGTACCTTGTGCACTGGAATTCCCAGAGCCACTCTTCCCATTGCCTCCGCAGTGCATCTCCCAGGGAACCATTCCTAGCAAGGTGCTTCCCGTGCCGAGAGCAGGAAGGACGGCACCGGCACCGCCGCCCAGCCCCGCACACGGAGCCCTCCCCAAGGATGCCTCTGCAGCCAGCGAGCACCTGTGTGCCACGCTCACCTGGTAGCAAGGGGTGGCCTGGGGACAGAGGGAATGATGGTCCCTGCTCTTCAGAGAGGGGAAACCAGCCCTGGCACGAGAGGCGTGGAGAGGGACACGACTGCAGGACAGCTCAGAGAGAAGAGGGGAGGGCTCTGCACAGCTCCTGAAAGAGCTCAGCACCACGGAGGAGCACCGGAAGGGGCTGCCCAGGGAGGCGGTGGTGTCACCATCCCTGGAGGTGTCCAAGGAACAACTGGATGTGGCACTCAGTGCTCTGGGCTCGGTGGAAATCAGCCACAGGGTGGACTTGATAGTCTTGGGGATCTTTTCCAGCCTCAGTGATTCTGGGATTCTGTGGCTGATCAGAAGCCCCTGTCCCAGGGCAGTGTCACTTATGTGATCCTGCTGTGCCATTTAAACATGGGGTGTCCTCAGCAGCCCTGTGAGACTCAGTAGTACCATCCAGGTAAGCAAATGAACCAAAGTTGTACCCAGTTTCTGCTAATAAGGCTCTCAAGCATTCTCTGTGTATAGTTATTCATACGACTGAGGAAGCTGGTCCTGATTAAACTGCAAGAAAGCTTCATTAAAGCTACCTGTATTTCATTTTTTAAAATATCTCCATAATCAAGTGTCTGGTTTCCCCCATCAGTTCTGACACGCCATAGTTGTTTTTAAAACACGGGATCCTGGCAGACAGTCAAGTTTGACTTTTCTTATATTAAAAAAAAAGAAGGCAGAACAGCCTAAAATTCACCGGGCCTCTTTGTCCTCAGCTAATCAGGCTCCTCCTGCTCCCTGAATGCCACCTACTCCAGGTGATGTTGGTAACCAATTACGCAAAAAATGTCATGACAATTTATCATTTCAGCCAGAGCTGAAACCTGCCAGACAGGGCAGCTGATGACACAATTCATTACACTGTAATTAGTACAAGTCAGACCACCTTCTCTTTATTTTGAAGTTGGTTCTATAGCTTGGGTACAAAAACCTGAATTTCAGACTTCAAGTGACAAGTGTACTAACAACTTCTCCTTTCTTTGTGCAAAAATAACCACCGTAGCCTGACATCTGTCCGAACACTCTTGAAAAATATTAATTATTTGCCTAAGTCAATATCCTCTATTTATTTCTGCAGTTCATTTCTGCAGATTTGCCAGAGCTGTTTTTATCTGGCGTGTGTCTCTCCTGCTTATGTGGCTCTTTCACACAGCAACAGAAGGGAGACAGAACAGGAAGGGGCTGGTAAGGCTGCAAGAAGTGACAGAGGGAAATCCTGGAATAAACTAGCAGGTGCCCCAATGCATCTTGTTACCAACTGATGGCATCCTTCTAGAGTCACAGGATCCTGGAATGGTTTGGGCTGGGAGTGACATCCCAACCCAAGCTCATCCAGTTCCATGCCCTGCCATGGACAGAGACTCTTTCCACTGGGCCAGGTTCCAAATCCCATCCAAGATGGTCTTGAACACTCCGCTTTACAATGAATTAACAATTTACTGAAGGCAAATTACACTTGGGAGGGTTGAACTTTACTTCTCCACACAGCAAACTAAGGCAGAGTGTGCTGTTCTCCACAAGTCTCAGCTAAGAGTCGCCCCAGCAGCTTCACCCCCCCCAAAGCCACAGCCCTGCACAACTCCCCAGCCTGTGGCTGTTCCTTCAAGCCAACAGCTCTCAGTCCTTCTTTTCTCCAGCACTGTTTGCCAAGGCAGTGACAATCTCAGAACAAACTCAAAACACTGCAGCAGCAAGAACAAGGTGAGCCTGGCTCCAGCCCCAGGAGGAGGACAGTGAGCACTGGAGGATGTTAAAGGAGGCACCAATTCCCAGGGGTGAATGCTGCCCTTGCTGCACAGCAGCAACAGCAGCCGGGGCTCTTCCCAGGGCTTTCTGCAGCAGGAGGCTGGCACCATATGGAGGTTCCTTCTTCCAGCCTCCGTGCAGCAGGAAAACGCTGGGGGCAAGGTGCTGAGGGGAGAGAAGGCAGTGCAGCAGCACAGAGCACGGCCCCCACGCTCCCCCTGTCCCAGAATCTCCCTGGATGCAGGCTGCAGGGCAGGCAGCAGCACTTCCCACAGGGAATGCCAGGACTGGCTGGGCACTGCAGCAGCTCCGGCCGCGCTCCCGGTGGCTGGCGATGCCAGACACATCCTGCCAGGGCTGGGCAGACAGGGCCAGGGCCTTGGCAACAGCTGGCCTGGCCCCACACACAGGGACCTGCTGCCCCCAGTGTGCCCAGCAGCCCGCCCGTGGCCTCCAGGATGTGCTGGGCTGGAGAGCTGCTCTGCAGAGCCCAGCCAGCATATCCCAGAGCTATTTAGGTGTTTTTACTTCCTTACCTGCAGTGACTCCTCCTCCTTTATGAGCTCCTTCGGGGGGAACAAGTCCTTGGCCTGGATGTACTCCAAACTGGGAGGGCCTTCCTCACCCTGCGTTGCAAACAGAGCACACAGTCAGACAGCCTTGGCCAGAACACGCTGTGAAAGCCAAAAATTGAAGCTGCTGGATACTCCTGGCAGCCCAGGAGCTTGGGGATACCTGTGCATGGAAATGCCTGCTCTGCCTCCAGACCCCAGCAGTTCCTCTGGCTGTTGCCGAGTGCCCACAGCGCAGTGAAATGCTGAAGCCTCCAAGTCCCGCCTCTTCCAGCTGAGTCGGTGTTTGGAAAGTCAAGCAGACACACCTCGGCCGCAGGGGACTGATGTGACAGTAACTTGTCACATCAGCTGTCCCCGTTACCTGCTCCATGGCACCACAGCAGACACACCATGACACAGGTTTCCATCTACAGTCCAATGTCAGCCTACTCTTCCTCCTCTTAAGGACTGCTTTGTTTTGGGAGTTTTTGTTTTCACTCTCACATCAAAGAAGTCTAGGAAGAGCCTGAATCTTTTGGAGGAGAAGATACAACTGGGAACAACCTACAACCACTGCACCCCAGAGCACATAATTCACAACAGGCACTACTGACTGGTGCCAGCACCAAGCCCAGAGCAGCTGGACATGTCCAGCCTGCTCAGATGGACACCCAAGAAAACCCACAGAGGCCTCAGGATGGTCAACAGAACCTGCACATACCATCCTTGACAAGTGGAGCGTGTGTCTCAGTTTGGAACATGAGAATCTTCATTCACTCATACAATCAAAGTATCCTGAGCTGGAAGGGATAAGGATCATCAAGTCTCCCTCCTGGCCCTGCACAGGACACCCCAAATCCCACCATGTGTCTCAGAGCATTGTCCCAGTGCTCCTTGAGCTCTGGTGTGAACTATCGGTGCCAATTTTCACCAGCCCTCACCCAGGTCCTGTCATATCACTGAACTGCTGCCCAAAGGAGTGGCACCCGGACATTCAGCTGCAGATGCTCACTGCTGGGAGTCCAGGATGGTGCTAATTCCACATGTATTTGGTGTGGGAATGTTTTCTTCAGAAGGCTGCTTGCTCTCTAACTCTAGCTCTAGGCTCTAGCATTTACCAGGAAACACTGTGTTCTGTAAGCACTGAGTAATATTTTAAAATGGCATATCTTTCTGGATATGTCACCCAAGCCAGAATCCCAATTTCAGCCTGAAGAAAGGAGATCCCAATCCTTCTGGCTCAGGAATATTTCAAATTCTGCTGAATCCTCTTGTGTTACTGACAGGGGCTGAAGCCTCAGAATCTGCAAGAAGAGCCTGGCCTGAGGTGCTCCCTGGACCTCAGACAGGGGCAGCCAGACCACTCTCACCTCACATCCAAGGAACCTACACACATGTAACATGCTGTTAGAGCCTTCATAAAACTCAGCATCATCCCCAGCTGGAGGCAAAGGCACTGCCCCTGTCACCACACTGTGAGGGACACAGGGCACAGCACCAGCTCCAGCAGCAGCCTGTGCTCACTGGAGACCACGAGAGGCTTGGGGCCCCCTCCTGCCAGTGGCTCACTCCAAGGCTGAGGCACCAGCCCAGGAGAGCACAAAGGGAAGGTGTGTGCCCGTGTGCCGGTGCAGCAGCTAGGAAGCAGAGATCCTCTCCCATCCTCACGCTGCAGTTCGCAGAGAAATCCCAGGGAGCAGCAGGAACTGGAACAGGGCAGCCTGAGCTCCCCACCCGCCTGGGTGTCCTTGAGTCCCTCCTTGCCTGCAGCACAGGGCAGGCAGAGGCTGAGCATCCCCTCCTGCCACAGCCCCATCCCCGGTACCGGCAGGGTGGGGGCCAGCACCCTGCTCTCCTCCCAAGCCTCCTGAAGCCCTCGGAGCCCATCTGGCCAGGAGTGCCCTGGGGGGTTGAGGGTGGGTCTGCAGGAAGGGTCAGAGCAGGAAACCCCCTCTCGCTGAAGGTATAAAAGGTGCCGAGCGCAGGACCCTCAGCACAGCACCGCACCGGAGGGGTCCTGCACAGCCGCAGCCAGGGAGGGGGCGCGGGGCTCCCCGGGGCTCGGCTGCTCTCGCACGGTAATTTCCCAGCTCCAGGCAGGGCGCAGGGCCTGCCGGGGCTCAGCACAGTGGCCAGGGCCTGCCGGGGCTCAGCACAGTGGCCGGGGCCTGCCGGGGCTCAGCACAGTGGCCAGGGCCTGCCGGGGCTCAGCCCGCGGCGCCGGGCACTGCTGTGCCCTTGGGCCCGGCCAGGGCAGGAGGGACGGGCCACGGTGTCCTCCGGCGGCAAGTGAGAGCCAGAAGGGGATCCCCCTTCTCCCTGGGCAGATCCAGAGGATGCCTCCACCGGCATGTGAGTTGGAGAGCGCGGCTGGCTTACGGCCCCGCTTCCATGGAGGAAAGAAGGGGAATAAAAAGCAGCACTTACAAAGCAGTTGAGCATGGAGCAGGAGACGCGGCCTGGCAGACTCATGTTCATTTCCCGAGGCGGCAGCAGGGCCGGGCAGGCAGAAGCAGCATCTCCTCCCTTCGGCTGCGAGCTGCGGCCCCGGCACTGCGGCAGCGTCCCCGCTCCGCCGGGAAGGGCAGGAGCATCCCGGCCGCCGGCGGCCCGAGCAGGTGCCGGTGCCGGTGCCGCCGCCGACAATGGAGGGAGGGCGGGCGGAGGACGGGCAGACTCCACCTCCCTCCCAGGGCCGCTGAGCGCGGCTCTGCCATCTGAGCGTCTCCGTGACGGGCGAGACAGAAAATGGAGCGGGCGGCGGGATCGCGGGCACTGCCCGTTCCTCGGCCGGGAGCGGCATTCGCGGCCCATGGCGCTGCTCCCGCCGGCACCGGCCTCGCGCCGCACTGATGGCGGCACTGGGAGCGCCGGGAACAATAGCGGGAAGGCTGCTTCGTGCCCCGGCACCGCGCCCTCTGCCCCGAGCCCTCCACCCTGGCATCGAGCCCTCTGCCCCGAGCCCTCCACCCCTGTGCCGACTCCTCCAGGCCAGCATCAAGCCCTTTGCCCCGAGGCCTCTGCCCCCAGCCTTCCACTCCAATGCCGAGCCCTCAGCCCTGGCCCTGCTCCCAGAAGCTCAGCCAGGATTTACCACTGCACCCTGAGCCTACTATCCTCCAGCAGGCTGGCTTACGGACCTCCGTGCCTGGACCGGGAGATGAGGATAACGGGGCTGCCCTGCTCACCTCACCACTCAACACTCCCAAGACTGTAAGTCCTCGGTTCTAGGAGCTTCATGTGCACAGGGACTAGTCAGATGTCCCTGGCTCCCACCAGCTCCTGTGTGCTGGAGCCTGGGCTCTGGAGTGGACAAGGCTCCTCTCGCTGACCACCTGGACACTTAGCTCCCATGTGAAGTTTCCCCAGCTCCCACTGGAAATGCTCACAGACACAGGGTAAGGCCATGGGCGCAGGAAATGCTGTGATTGAGCACCCACCTCCCCACACCAGCCCCCTATAAGCTCACCTTTACTACTTGCTGTTCATCAAGCCCAGGAGCAAACAGCTCCCAGTTCGCAGTCTATCTCAGGAACCACAGGAGCAGCTTCCTGGGCAAACCCATCTTCATTTCTACCATCAGCTACTGCTCGGCCCCCACCACTGAGCCAGAGGGATAATCTCTTGTTAAAATGCAAATTTAAAACCTGACCCTTCATCGGTCCTCAAAACCCCCACTATCTGGCTCAAATCACATCAGCTTTTTGCTCCCAAAACACAAATCAAACAGAGCACAGCCTGTAGCCATTGAGCTCCTCTTAGACGTGTTTGCCCCAAAGCACTGCAGACAGCTCTCCCCAGCAATACCAATGGGATCTCAAAGAGCTTTTCTTAAGTCAGATAAAAGACTTCAACACTTCTCTGCAAAATTGTTCAAGGTTAGATTATTCAGAGCTGGTTCGCCTAAAGGGACAGCTTTGTGACACCCAGACGTGCTGCCCACTGCCACTTGCAGGTCAAAATCCAGTTCCATGAGCTCCCTTGCTGACAAAACAATCCCACAGGCTCACATGGTTACACCAGTTTCACTACTTAGGATAAAAGACTTAGAAGAACACATAGCCACACCTGCAGATAAGCCATGAAATCCCATTTCACCCTCTAACATTTACATGGAGCGCAGTGGGTGGATGTCAGGCATTGCTCATCCTTGGGGAACCTGAACTTGCTGGCACCCACAAACCAGAACACAAAACCAGAGGGTTATGGGCACAAACAGAGAGTTACACGTAAGGACAGAGGGTTATGGATGAGGTTACAGATTTGTCTTGGCCAAAAGTGAATGGCAGGAGAGGTGCCCTGCTCCCTGCAGGTGACCTGTGCCTGGGTCACTGGAGGGAATGCTGAGAGACGACAGAGCAGCTAAAGCTGAAGGAACCTTTTATACTGGAGAGAAAGTGTGGCTAGAAACATTATAAAGCAAATATTTATTGGGTTCTTGACATGTATCAGGGGAAAAGCAACACAGCACATCCAGGGAACAGCTGAAGTCCGGGAGTCTCTTGGGCAGAGTGTGAGCACATTGGTGTTAAGTGCACACAGCACAGGACCAGAGTCTTGAGCACACAAAACCACAGACAAGGCAGGTAAGAGGTTTGCTCCAACCAACAGTAAGTTTTTTAGGGCCAAGGCTCAGTTTAGGGCCTGATACAGGGATTGTTTGCATTGTAACATCCCTAAGCTGCAGCTGTGCAGAGTTAAAGGGCTGCTCATCAGATCAGTACTCTGAATTTCCAACCTAAGCTGACCTGAACATCCACAAATAGAACTTCTGCTTTCACTGAAATATTTCTGCACTTTTAGTATAGAAAAAGACTCACATGACTTAGAAACTTCTGCCCAAGCACTGAGCCTGGTGCAGAGCAGAAACCTTGCTCTAAAGTTCAGTGGCTTCACAGACTTTCAAGAGGAACTTGATTCAGACTCTGCTTTCACTTCCTTCAAGAGTTCCCAAAATACCTGCCCTCCTTTCCCTCCAGTGACCCAGGCAAAGGAAGGAATGGTGCTGGGCAGCCCAGCACAGGACTGCAGAGTGCTCCAGACTCCTTAGCTGAGGAGGGAATTCCTAAATGCCACCTCGGATGCCTCCCCAGCTGGGCTCTCTTCTCCACTGTCACAAATCACATAGGAAGAGAAGGTTCTTCAACAGAACTGGGCTCCTCTGATTATTCTCAGTGTGTGTGTTCATGTAGGCAGAGAGAGAAATCTCCTTCATCATCTCCCAACCACCCTTTCAAGTGTTTCTCAGCTCTGAGGAAGAGGAGCTGAATATAATGTGGGCAGCATGTTCTTACGGGCAGCTGGCAGTGATTCGCACCCTTTCCCTCCCACTAGCAATGCCCACTGTTCCTGTGCTGCTCCTCCCACCCCTCCCTGGATCCACACTGCAGGTAAACAGCTTGCAGCCTTCTGCCGAAGGTCCCAAAAGGGATTCAGAGGCTTGGAGATTATACAGTGCTTGGCAAAGACAGGACTGGCACTCAAGGGGCCATCCTGCAGCCTCCAAAGGAGATGATACTCCTTATGGAGACATGCCTACATGCACCAGGAGCTCAGGCTGCAGCACAGGGTTCACAGGGAACATCTGGTCCCACGTGCCCAAGGAATCTGCATTGGGAGCACAGGACAAGCATCAGGATGCTGAAATCTCTCTTGTGGTCTGGAGCCAGTCAGCATCCTGAAATTAATCATTTTGCCAGTGGCTGGTCCAGCTTTCTGCAAGTTTGGGAAAGTGGGGACCAGGGAGCAGCTAATTCCCACCTGGCCAGGTCCCTTCTAACCCAAACCATTCCATGATTCTAGGATAAGAACTGGTCTCATTCACTGCAGGGAGTTGCCAGCACACCTGACTCAGCCTTCCACAGACATGTACACCCTTCCCAACCCTGACATAGCTTTATCCTCTATTTCTTTTTGGCACCACAAATAAAGTTGCTCTCTCCTTAGGTAGAAGGCACCACACATATTGCTTCTATGGATTAAGGGTGAGCTTTTCCTCACCCCAGCACGGGGCACCACCCTACAGATGGAGGGGAGGGGAGGGAAGGCAAGGGCTGGCAGAAATCTGCATGCACAGCCCTGTCCCTGGTAGCACATCCACTGCACAGACTGCCCTGATCTGCCTCCAGCTGGAGGAAACTGACAGAAAAATTGGCAGGAGGAGGTGACTGCCCTGGAAAGGGAATTCCAGGACATGAGAAGTAAGTCAGCAAGAGCCAGGGAAGCTCTGTCTGACGACCAGGGGCTCCAGCAGCAGAGGGGCCATCAGGACACTCTACTTTAGATCCTTCCAGGTCTGAATATTTATTTTCAGTGAAGATCAAACTAGGAACTGGTTATCTAGATCTTTTTTTCCAGATGAGATGGGGAGTGGAGAGACTTGCATCATTTATCTCATTCTAAAAGTTAAAATTTATTCTTTTTCTGCCTGGCAGATGCCTACATGGGGTGAGATGAGCTGCCCTCAGACACATATTTCTCTCTCTCCATAAGCTGATGCTGAGACTGATGAGCTGTGGCCAAAGGCCCTTCTTGTTCGGCCTCTCCTATTTCTGTTGCACAAAGGGCATCTTTGTTTCAGGTCCCCCTACATAAACAGTTCGTTTCCTCAAAGCCTAGGGAGGTTTGTGGGTGAACTGAAAGGCTGCTGAGCCTGAGGTGGAAACAAACCCTTAAACCTGTGCAAAGAGAAGTTACTGTTTTATACCCCATAAATCAGCACTGGGATGGTGGGTGTCATCTTTTAATCTGGATAGGATGACAATAATTTATAGATCTGTAATACTGCATTTAGTATTTGTTCAGAAAGGTGCCCAGAGGTGAGCATGGAACTGAATGTGTATCAAGAAACCTTTGAGGAGAAGGACAAAAGGGTGCAAGACATGGGCTGCCAACTCCATGCACCAGCACGAGGGGATGAAGGGTGGCTGCCAATGCCCACCTTGGATAAGTCATGGGCCCCCTCAGGGTAAGAACCAGATGCCTACAGTGCCAGTATCCCAGCAGTCAGGAGAGGGAATGCTGCTGTGGGGGCTGAGCACCGAGTGCCAGCACAGCACCGGCACCAACCCATCTGCCAGATTAGTTTTAAGTAATGTATTAAGGTACCAAGTGCTCGTTAGGGCTCCATTAGCCAGAGTTCAGGATTAAACCAGCACTAGTGCTGTCTTCAAGGTCATTCCCATCAGAAGCTAGTTTTGGGGAAAAGTGGGAAGAGTCATGCAATCCAAGCTGTTAACACTAGACCACGAACCCGGAGCAGCAGAAAGGGAAGAGCAGGTGATGAGGTGCTCTGGAGTGCTGCTGGGTGAGGGCAAAGCTTTTGGGCCTACCCTTGCTAAGCACAGACACTGGGGCTGTGGCCTCAGCCTGCTGTGAGCACAGGGAGCTAAGGAAGCACTCGGTATGCCTGCAGGGAACAGGCACCCAGCCAGCCCCAGGCAGCCCTTAACCCACAGCCCAGCTCCAGCCCTCCCTGTGTCCAGCTCAGGAGCCACAGCCCTCCGGAGAGGGCACAGAAGGACTCCAAGGAGCTGTCAGGATTTGCCATCAGCTCTCTGCCTTCAGCTTGCTGACAGAAGCTCAGTTAAAGGGTGGAGGTAAGTGCTTATTTCTACAGCTTGCAATTACAAATCGCTTTCTCTCCCTTGCCCTTTTTGGGAGACAAAAAGCCCATAGTCTCTTCCCAAAACAGTTGGTGAAATGGGAGGTGCTTTTGGTGGTTGGTTTATTTTTTTCTGAAATGAAAAAATAATTTTCAAAAAATCACAGGAGCATTTTAATAAAACATAAAAAAAAACAAAACCAAAAAGCTTTTCAGAAGATCCTTTGAAACAGTAAAGGTATATTAGGGTACTGATAAGGAAACCCTCTTGTGTAAAAGAAATCAAACAACGATTACACCTAAGGGTGGGCAGGGCCAGGTCAGGGTAAGGTCTGTCCAGACACAGGAAAGGAGTTCAGGGAAAAGAAAAGCTTCCATGTTTTAGTAAATCCAAAATTCCAGTCTCTGCTCTCAAAAAAAACCCAAAAAACCAAAAAAAACACCAAAAAACCCAACAAAAAACCAACCAGAAAAACATCAAAAAACCAACCAACCAAACCCAACCCCTGTCCCCCAAAAAAACATAAAAACAAAAACCAGGTCCATGGAGGGGTGACGAGAACTAAAGATGGCTTTACTACAGAGAATTTAAAAGACTAGAGCTCTTCTGATGTCTAAGGGGAATGTGTGGAGATCTAAAAAACCCTGAAGGGCAGGAGACGCTCACAGGCAGCACCACACTTTATTG